AAATTTGCTTGTTAATTTCAAATTTGCTTGTTAATTTCAAATAGTTTCAAAAAGGATACGAAATATATTTCTCTGAAAAATTAAATCTTTTCATGGAAAATAGAATTTTCATGCTTCACATAACGGCTGCCGTAAAACCAACCTGTGCATTTTCCATTGACGTCCTTATAACCTTCATTACACGAGCAGTAGTAGGACCCTTGAGAGTTGACGCACACGGCACCAGCACCACAAGTAACGTTGGACACAGTGCATTCGTCGATATCTGATGCATTCACATTGAAGGACAATAATCATTAGAGTACCGAAATTGTTGTTCATAATGTTTTTGCAGCCCCTGCAACTTTCTAGGGTATGAGCGACCTTCCTTGGCCATTGAATGGTGTTAAATTTGGTTACTTTGAGAGAGGATTAATAGCGAGTTAAATGTGGGCGATTGGGGTAGAGAGAACAGAGCTTACGAAATAGTTTTCTTGGCCATTGTGTGGTGTTTGAAGCACAGGTGACCAAGGCAACCCCAAGTTGAGTTGTTTGTTTTTTCCTGTGCTTCGAGGATTTTTCTCCGGGTTCTGCAAAATTTCCTCCAACTCCATAAAAAATCAACTCTTGAATTCCAATTCGATCATGGAAAGASAGCCACACAARGTTTGTTAACTACTGGCTATTAAGTGCAACCCTCGTAAACACCAGGACAAGGACGGTACAGCGAAGATTAAAACGAGTATAACATCATCAAAAGAAACTGAGCGTCGGCAGAGAAGAGTTTAAGCCCAAACTAGATCATTTGGTGAGGWRAAAGYTAGACGYAAGCTGTTCCTTACCGGTGCACGTCTTCCCATCACCGTTGTATCCTCTGACACACCGGCAAACGAACGAACCAGGGACGTTGGTACATATCGCATGGACATCACAGGGTGGGATTTCAGTGGCGCATTCATCAATATCTTGGAAAAAAGAAATAAAAAACATGAATGCAATGAAAATATAAGTTCCAGGTTTTTTTTAATCAACTTATCGTACCAAACGACTAAATTGGCCGAAATACACTTTCCTGTCAAAATAGTTTTAACAATGATAAACAAAAAAATCTTAAAATAAAATTCAAATTTGGACAACATTTTTGGAACTTTAGGGGGATCTATCATGCATTCCATGTTTTAAAAGATATCAAGGACTGAAAATAAAGGCTTCTGTTCTAGATTTAATAGTCATAGCTGACTAACTATGCTTTTATGACGTGACTTCAGCTGTGTATCACATTACACTACCTTTGCATACTTCATTTCTTCTATCAAACCCTTCTTTACAGACACACTGGTATTTATTGTCGATATTCAAACATCTTTCATCATCACCACAAGCTGGTTCGCATTCAGCTGTTGTTTCTAAGAAAAAATGGTAATGAAATAAGTTCGCAACATACATAATAAACCTGCTCAAACCAAAGCGAAACGACCTAATTTCCAAAAAAATGAAAAGTGTTTTTGGTGATGCTTTTTTTCGTTAAAGAGGAATGTTTCTTACTCGTGCGAAGAAAGAAGAAGAAGGAAGGAAGCGGAAGGAGGGAAAGAAGGAGGGAACGAAGAAAGAAAGAATATAGAATCACGAGCGCGTATTCACCTTCAATATTTTATATTAATAATCATGTATAATAATAATATTATTTGCAGTATTCATAGATTTACGCATCGATTCCTACCTGTGCAAGTTCTTCCATCGCCTGAGAATTCATCTTTACAAGTACATTGATA